CCCCAAAACCCGACCCCAAAAAACCCCAGAACCCCAAAAACCGACCCCAAAAACCCCCCAGAACCCCAAAAACCCTACCCTAAACACCCCTCAGAACCCCAGAGACCCCAAAAAACCCAAACCCCAAAACCTCCCCTAAAACCCAAACACCCCCAGAATCCCAAACACCCCAGAACCCCAAAAAACCCCCAGAGCCCCTCTCCAAAACCCTTCAACCCCAGAACCCCAAAAACCCCAGGGCTCCTCTCCAAAACCCCAAAACTCCAAAAACCCAACCCCAAAAACCCGACCCCAAACACCCCCAGAACCCCAAAAACCCCCAGAACCCCAAAACCCGACCCCAAAAACTGCAGAACCCCAAAATCCAACCCCCAAATCCCCAGAACCTTAAATCCCCCCAAAAACCCAAACACCCCCAGAACCTCAAGCATTCCCAGAACCCCAAAAACCCCCAGAACCCCAAAATCCCAGAAACCCTCCCGCCCCACCCCAAAACCCCAAATTTGTTTTCCTTGACGGCGCCTCCAGATGAGATCCACGACGGGATGAACCTGGAGCTCTACTACCAGTAGGGCCCCACCAGTCCGGACCAGTCCAGACCGGTCCAAACCGGTCCAGCAGTCCCAGTGCTCCCAGTCCAACCCAGTCCAAACCGGTCCAAACCGGTCCAGCAGTCCCAGTCCAACCCAGTCCAAACCGGTCCGGACCGGTCCAACCCAGTCCAGCCCAGTGCTCCCAGTATATCCCAGTACGGCCCAGTCCCCTCCCCCGTTTCCGGCCTGGCCCCGTTTGTTGATCAATAAAAGCGATTTTTGGGCCTCCGGGCGATTTTTGGGATTTTCTGGCGATATCCGGGGGTTGTGTCGCGATATCGCGATGTTTCCTACGGGGGTACCCGAGCCTGGATCCCGGCTGGGGAGGAACGCAGAGTTCCCGACAGGATAAACCCCGCGATACCGGGGAATCGCCGGCGATAGGAGGAGAATCGCGACAGAGGCTCGGGTCAGGCGCTGCTCGGGGCAGCCCCGTCACCATGGCAGCGGGGGGCCTTCCTTGGGGCGGCGCGTGGGTAGCCTCGTTGTTATGGTAACGGCGGGTTTCCAATCAGGCGCCGAGCGGGGCAGCCTCGTTGCTATGGCAGCGGGGGCCTTACATGAGGATGGCGCGCAATATGGCGGCGCCCATGGCGAGCGCGGGAGCGGGTGAGGGAGGCGGCGGAGCCCCGGGCGGGAACGGGAGAGGGAACGGGACCGGGAGCGGGACCCGGAACGGGACCGGGACCCGAGCGGCGCCTCCCTCTCCCCCCAGGGCCGCGGCCGGGGCGGCGCTGAGCGCGGGGGCCGGAGCCGGTACCGGGCGGCGGAGCTGGGACCGCCCGGGAATGGCGGACAGGCCGGGACGGGCCAGGGTGAGTGAGGGGAGACCGGCGAGGGGATCCGGGTGGGAACCCCTCCTGTCTCACCTTTGCCGTGTGGGGAGATTTCGGTGCTTCCGTTTCTCCCAAGGGAATTTTGTCTTCCCGCAGGCTGCCAGGGCCCGGAGCAGCTCGCCAGGTGAGTGCTCTCACCTGTCCTCACCTGTCCTCATCCCCCTCACCTGTCCCCACCTGCTCTCCAGGGGATTTGGGTCCCTGGGAATGCTGGGATGGGGCGGGATCGGAATGTCCTAGGGGACAGGTGAGGTGTCCCAGAGACAGGTGAGATGTTCTAGGACACACGTGAGATGTCCCAGAGACAGGTGAGGTGTCCCAGAGACAGGTGAGATGTTCTAGGACACACGTGAGATGTCCCAGAGACAGGTGAGGTGTCCCAGAGACAGGTGAGATGTTCCAGAGACAGGTGAGGTGTCCCAGAGACAGGTGAGGTGTTCTAGGACACAGGTGAGGTGTTCCAGGAGCTTTTCCCACCTGCCTGGTGTGTGGAGCACACCTGGGGCTCACTTGGGCTCTGGCCTGTTCCAGATCCCGTCGGGGACGTGCTCGGGGAGCTCCTGGGATCCGATGGTAAAGTGGGAGCTCCCAAGGGGGTCACCTGGGGGGGTCACCTGGGCTCACCTGGGAACTCCTGGGAGGGTCATCTGGAGGGGATCACCTGGGAACATCTTGGTGACTGGGGAGGGGATCACCTGGGATGACCTGGGGGGAATCACCTGGGAACACCTGGGGTCACCTAGAGGGAAACCCCTTCCCCAGGATCACCTGGGGCTCACCTGGGCTCACCTGGGGGGATGCCCCGCCCTCCCCGTTCCCACCTGTCTCCGTGTCCATCCCTGACCCCTCCCTTGTTTCCAGAGGAGGCCCCGGCTCCGCCCTCCCGAGGTTCCCACGCCCCCTTCCTGCAGGTGAGCCCAGGTGGGCCCAGGTGACCCCAGGTGAGCCCCTCCCAGCCCTGCCCTCCCCCACCCAGGCCGGGCTGAGCCTCGTTCTCCAGGTGTGCTCACCTGGGAGCACCTGGGGCCCCGCCCCACCCCCTCACCTGGGCTGTGCCCGGGATCAGGATCGAGGGGGAGAAATCCCAAGAAACGGGAAATTCCCAAAACTGGGAAATTTCCAATGGAGAGTGGGAAATTCCCAAAGAACGGGGAATTCCCAGTGAATGGGGAATGGGAAATTCCCAAAGAATGGGAAATTCCCAGTGGGGGAAGGGAAATTCCCAAAGGGGAAATTCCCAGTGAATGGGGAATGGGAAATTCCCAGCGGGGAACGCGGAAGGGGCGAAGGTGAGCGGGGAAGAATTCCCAAGGGATTTGGGATCCCACCTGGGCTGCAGGTGAGGGCAGGAGCTGCTCCCCCCAACCCGGAGCTGGATCCCATGGATCACCAGATCCCATGGATCACCAGGATCCAGTTGATCCCGTGGATCACCATGACCCAACGGATCAGCTGGACGAGCTGGACGAGCTGGATGCAGAAATCCTGGGAATGGCCAGAGCCGGGTCCAGGCCGGGGAACCGCGGCGGGAAGGGGCCGGGTCCCCAAAAAGGTACCGGGAATTCCTGTGGGATCAACTCCCACTGCTGTGGGATCAACCCCATTCCATGGGATCAAACTCCATTGTTGTGGGATCAACCCCCAATCCTGTGGGATCAACCCCCATTGCTGTGGGATCAACCCCAATCCTGTGGGATCAAACCCCATTCCATGGGATCAACCCCATTCCATGGGATCAACCCCATTCCTTGGGATCAACCCCATTCCATGGGATCAACCCCATTCCATGGGATTAACCCCATTGCTGTGGGATCAACCTATTCCAATGGGATCAACCCCAATCCTGTGGGATGGGGAGCACAGGGTGACAGGGAGGGGACACGGGGGGGACATGGAGATTCCCAGATCTGGGGACACCCGGAGATGTCCCAGCGCCGGTGACTTTCAGAGGTGTCTCAGAGTTGGTGACACCTGCGAATGTCCCCAAGCCAGTGACACCTGGAGATGTCCCTGAGATGTCCCAGTGTTGGTGACACCTGGAGATGTCCCAGAGTTGGTGACACCCAGGGATGTCCCATTGTTGGTGACACCTGGAGATGTCCCTGAGATGTGCCAGTGCTGGTGACACCCAGGGATGTCCCAATGTCGGTGACACCCAGGGGTGTCCCAGAGCCAATTGGTGACACCCAGGGATGTCCCAATGTCGGTGACACCTGGAGATGTCCCAGAGTTGATGACCCAGAGACGTCCCTGAGGTGTTCCAGTGTTGGTGACACCTGGAGATGTCCCAGAGTTGGTGACACTCAGGTATGTCCCATTGTTGGTGACACCTGGAGATGTCCCAGAGCCAATTGGTGACGCCCAGGGATGTCCCAATGTCAGTGAAATCCAGGGATGTCCCTGAGATGTCCCAGTACTGGTGGCATCCAGGGATGTCCCAGAGCTGGTGGCACCCAGGGACGTCCCAGATGCCATCAGTGCCATCCCCCCAGCCCCGCCCCCCCGTCCCGATGTCACCTTTGGGGACGACGTTGATGACCTGATGGACTCCCTGGGACTCGGCAGCGGCGCCGACGGAGCCGGGAGCGCGCCGGGAACGCCGGGGGGGTGAGGGGACACCGGGATGGGGACGGGAACAGGGGGGTCCCGGTGCCACCCCAGTGCCACCCCCACCTGTGCCCAGCCAGGGGCTCCGGAAGGGCCGCGCCGGGATCCAGGAGAAGCCGGGAAAGGCGGAATTCCAGCCGGACCCCAAGGAGCGGGAGCAGCCAGGTGAGCACGGCCGGGGTGGGGGATCCACGGGAGGGGGTCCAGAGGCTCCAGATCCCGCTGGGAATTCCAGGCAGGAACAGCACAGGTGTTTGCCAGAGGGTCCAAATCCCACTGGGAATTTCAGGGAGGAGCAGCACAGGTGCTTTCCAATCCCAGTCCCATTGGGAATTCCCAGGAGGAGCAGCAGCACAGGTGTTTTCCAGAGGTTTCGTCCCACTGGGAATTCCCCAGGCAGGAGCAGCACAGGTGTTTTCCAATCCCAATCCCACTGGGAATTCCAGGCAGGAGCAGCACAGGTGTTTTCCCATCCCAGTCCCATTGGGAATTCCAGGCAGGAGCAGCACAGGTGTTTTCCAATCCCAATCCCACTGGGAATTCCAGGGAGGAGCAGCACAGGTGTTTTCCATGGCCAGTCCCACTGGAAGTTTCGGGAGTTTTGAGAATTTGGGGATTTTTGGGAATCTGGGGTCCTGTTGTTCCGCAGGGCCGGGCGGGGCCCAGGTGGAGCCGGGATTTCCCTTCGGATCCTACGAGCCCTCGGTGGCCTCGGGGACCGGGCGGAGACGGAGGTACCGGGCGGGGGGAGGAGAGGGGGGATGTCCCCACCCAGCCGTGTCCCCAGTGTCCCACTGTCCCCACTGTCCCCCTTGTCCCCAATGTCCCCATTGTCCCTGCCCAGTCCCCACTGTCCCCAATGTCCCCACTGTCCCCCTTGTCCCCAATATCCCCAATGTCCCCATTGTCCCCATTGTCACCTGTCCCCAATATCCCCATTGTCCCCATTGTCACCTGCCCAGTCCCCACTGTCCCCAATGCCTCCACTGTCCCCATTGTCCCAAATTTCCCCCAGTGTCCCTAATGCCCCTGGTGTGCTCGTTGTCCCCCATATCCTCATTGTCCCCAGTGTCCCAATGCCCCCATTGTCCCCCAATGTCCCCAGTGTCCCTGTTTTGCTTATTGTCCCCATTGTCCCCCATTGTCCCCTATTGTCTCCAGTGTCCCCATTGTCCCCAGTATCCCCAATGCCCCCATTGTTGCCATTGTCCCCCAATGTCCCCATTGTCCCGTGTCCCTGTTTTGCTCATTGTCCCCATTGTCCTCCTTTGTCCCCTATTGTCTCCAGTATCCCCAATGTCCCCAGTGCCCCCATTGTTCCCATTGTCCCCATTGTCCCCAATGCCCCCATTGTTCCCATTGTCCCCCAGTGTCCCCATTGTCCCCAGTGTCCCTGTTTTGCTCATTGTCCCCAGTGTCCCCGGTGTCCCTCTCCCCCCACAGGTGTCCGGTTGGGAGCAGCTCCCGACGTCCCTCCGGGGCCGCCTGGCTGGGGCTGAAGGACGAGGATTTCCTGGGACTGGGGGACGAGGATTTCCCAGGACTGGGACAGAAGGACAAGGATTTCCTGGGACTGGGACAGAAGGACAAGGATTTCCTGGATCTGGGATCAAAGGACAAGGATTTCCCGGGATTGGGACAGAAGAACAAGGATTTCCTGGATCTGGGATCAAAGGACAAGGATTTCCCGGGACTGGGACAGAAGAACAAGGATCCCACAGGATTGGGATCGAAGGACAAGGATTTCCTGGGACTGGGATCGAAGGAAAAGGATTTCCCAGGGTTGGGACAGAAGGACAAGGATCCCCTGGGATTGAGACCAAAGGACAAGGATTTCCTGGAGCTGGGATCGAAGGACAAGGATTTCCTAGGATTGGGATCAAAAGAAAAGGATCCCCCGGGATTGGGACAGAAGGCCGAGGGTCCCCCGGGATCAGGACAGGACAAGGATTTCCCAGGACTGGGACAGAAGGACAAGGATTTCCTTGGATTGGGATGGAAGGACGAGGATCCCCCGGGCCCCGGTGTCCCGGGATCCCCGCTGCGGCACCGGCGCTGCCCTGGCGCTGCCCTGGCCCCGGAGCCGTCCCGGGCGGAGCCTCCGGAGCCAAATTCCCACCCCTGGAGGGGCCCGGAGCCCCCCGAGCCCGGCAGGTAAAGGGAACCCCCGGGAACCCCCAGGAGCTCCCACCTGGCATCCAGGAGATCTCCGGGACCGGGGATCCCGGCCCGGGTGTCCTCCAGGTGTGCCCAGGGGATGTCACTGTCCCAGGTGTCCTCTCCAGGTGTCCCTGGCCCAGGTGATGTCCCTGTCCCAAAATGTCCTCCAGGTGTGCCCGGGGATGTCACTGTCCCAGGTGTCCTCTCCGGGTGTCCCCGGGGATGTCATTGTCCCAGGTGTCCTCCAGGTGTGCCCGGGGATGTCATTGTCCCAGGTGTGCCTGGGGATGTCACTGTCCCAGGTGTGCCCGAGGATGTCCCTGTCCCAGGTGTCCCCAGGTGATGTCCCTCTCCCAGGTGTGCCCGGGGATGTCCCTGTCCCAGGTGTCCCCAGGGATGTCACTGTCCCAGGTGTCCTCTCCGGGTGTCCCCAGGGACGTCCCTACTCTGGAATTCCCCCCACCTGAGCTCCTCCCACCTCCCTGTTCCCAGGACAAGGCTCAGCTCACCCCAGTGTCCCTGTTTTGCTGGGAGGGACACAGGTGTCACCTGGGAGGGCTCAGGTGACCAGTGTGGGGGGAGGGGACCCTGGGATGGAGGTTTGGGGTGTCCCTGTTCCCTCCGAGTCCCAAAGGTGGCATCCCTGGCACTGGGCAGGTGGGGTGGGACAGGTGACACCGCTCGGGTGACACAGGTGGGACAGGTGGCACAGGTGACATGGCAGAGGTGACAGAGATCACTCGGGTGATACAGGTGACACGGCTCAGGTGACCCAGGTGGCAGAGGTGACACAGGTGACTCAGGTGATACAGGTGGCACAGGTGACCGAGGTGGAACAGCACAGATGGCACAGGTGACTCAGGTGACATAGATGGCTCAGGTGATATGGTTGATACAGGTGACACAGGTGACCCAGGTGACCCAGGTGGGACAGCGGCATACAGGTGACCCAGGTGGGACAGGTGACACAGATGACCCAGGTGGCACAGGTGACCCAGGTGGCACAGCACAGGTGGCACAGGTGACCCAGGTAACACAGGTAGCACAGGTGACCCAGGTGGCACAGGTGACACAAGTGGCACAGGTGACACAAGTGGCACAGATGGCACAGCACAGGTGGCACAGATGACCCATGTGGCACAGGTGGGACAGGTGACACAGGTGACCCAGGTGGCACAGCACAGGTGGCAGAGGTAGCACAGGTGACACAGATGGCACAGGTAACACAGGTGACCCAGGTGACACAAGTGGCACAGATGGCACAGCACAGGTGGCACAGGTGACCCATGTGGCACAGCACAGATGACACAGGTGGCACAGGTGACCCAGGTGGCACAGCACAGGTGGCACAGGTGGCACAGGTGACCCAGGTGACACAGATGACCCAGGTGGAACAGGTGGCCCGGGTGGCACAGCACAGGTGGCACAGCACAGGTGGCACAGGTGACACAGGTGGCACAGCACAGGTGACCCAGGTGGCACAGGTGACCCAGGTGGCACAGCACAGGTGGCACAGGTGGCACAGGTGACCCAGGTGACACAGATGACCCAGGTGGAACAGGTGGCCCGGGTGGCACAGCACAGGTGGCACAGCACAGGTGGCACAGATGACCCAGATGGCACAGGTGGCACAGGCCAGGCCAGGCTGGGCGGTCTGTGCCCCCCTGACTCTCCCGTGGCATTTCCCCTCCCAGGCTGGAGCTCCCCCTCGGGACACGGCCCCGCGGGCAGGGGGCAGCAGGTGAGGCCCCTGTCCCCCCCAGGTGTCCTCGGAGGTCACCTGGCCTGGGCAGGGGACACCTGGGGACCCTGGGGACCCTCCTCTGTAACTGGGGGAGCTGTGCCAGGGGATAATGGGATCGTGGGATATCGGGACAGTGGGATAGTGGGATAAAACAGGATAATGGGATAGTGGGATAACGGGATAGTAGGATAACAGGACAATGGGATAATGGAATAGTGGGATAACAGGATAATGGGATAGTGGGATAACGGGATAGTGGGATAGTAGGATAACAGGACAATAGGATAATGAGATAGTGGGATAGTGGGATAACAGGATAATGGGATCATGGGATAGTGGGATAATGGGATAATGGGATGACGGGATAGCGGGATAATGGGATAATGGGATGGGATCCATGGGATCAGTGAGATGGGATGGGATGGGATGGGATGGGATGGGATGGGATGGGATCTATGGGATTGGATCCATGGGATGGTGCTGGATGGGATGGGACAATGAGATCCATGGGATGGGATGGGAACAATTGGAGGGGATCTATGGAATGGGATGGAATGGGATGGAATGGGATCCACGGGATGGGATAATGAGATGGGATCCCTAGGATGGGTCTGGATGGAATGGGATAATGGGATCCATGGGATGGGATGGGAACGATTGGATGGGATCTATGGGATGGGATCCATGGGATAGGATCTGTGGGATGGGATGGGATGGGATCCATGGGATGGGATAATGAGATGGGATCCCTAGGATGGGTCTGGATGGAATGGGATAATGGGATCCATGGGATGGGATGGGAACGATTGGATGGGATCTATGGGATGGGATCCATGGGATAGGATCTGTGGGATGGGATGGAATGGGATCCATGGGATGGGATAATGAGATGGGATCCCTAGGATGGGTCTGGATGGAATGGGATAATGGGATCCATGGGATGGGATGGGAACGATTGGATGGGGGATAATGGGATAGTGGGATAATGGGATAGTGGGATAAAACAGGATAATGGGATAGTGGGATAACGGGATAGTAGGATAACAGGACAATGGGATAATGGAATAGTGGGATAACAGGATAATGGGATAGTGGGATAACGGGATAGTGGGATAGTAGGATAACAGGACAATAGGATAATGAGATAGTGGGATAGTGGGATAACAGGATAATGGGATCATGGGATAGTGGGATAATGGGATAATGGGATGACGGGATAGCGGGATAATGGGATAATGGGATGGGATCCATGGGATCAGTGAGATGGGATGGGATGGGATGGGATGGGATGGGATGGGATGGGATGGGATGGGATGGGATGGGATCTATGGGATTGGATCCATGGGATGGTGCTGGATGGGATGGGACAATGAGATCCATGGGATGGGATGGGAACAATTGGAGGGGATCTATGGAATGGGATGGAATGGGATCCACGGGATGGGATAATGAGATGGGATCCCTAGGATGGGTCTGGATGGAATGGGATAATGGGATCCATGGGATGGGATGGGAACGATTGGATGGGATCTATGGGATGGGATCCATGGGATAGGATCTGTGGGATGGGATGGAATGGGATCCATGGGATGGGATAATGAGATGGGATCCCTAGGATGGGTCTGGATGGAATGGGATAATGGGATCCATGGGATGGGACAGTTACGATTGGATGGGATCTATGGGATGGGATAATGGGATGGGATCCATGGGATAGGATCTGTGGGATGGGATGGAATGGGATCCATGGGATGGGATAATGAGATGGGATCCCTAGGATGGGTCTGGATGGAATGGGATAATGGGATCCATGGGATGGGACAGTTCCGTTCCTTCCGTGTGTCCCAGTGATGGATTTGTCCCGTTTTCCACCCCAGCTGTGCAGGAGGCGCCGGGTCCTGCCACGCCCACTCAGGTGGGTGCTGGGGCCGGAGCAGGGAGGATCCCTGGGGATCCCTTGGGATCTGGGGGGGCTGGGCATGGATCAGCATTCCCAGCAGAGGGGAGCTGCCCTTCCCAGGCCTCTCCTGGAGCATCCCTGTGTCCCCACAGGAGGATCCGGCGGCTCCTCCAGCCCCGTCCCGCCCGGAGAATCCCCGAGCTCTCCCGTCCTGGCTCTGCCCGGAGCATCCCGCAGCTTTCCCGGCCCGGAGGCGCCAGGAGGGTCCTGGAGCTCTCCCATCCCAACAGCGCCAGGAGGGTCCAGGAGCTCTCCCATCCCAACAGCGCCAGGAGGGTCCTGGAGCTCTCCCATCCCAACAGCGCCAAGAGGATCTGGGATCTCTCCCATCCCGGCCCCACCAGGAGGATCTGGGATCTCTCCCATCCCGGCCCCACCAGGATTCCCAAACTCTCCAATCCCACCTGTGCCAGCAGCACCCCGGCTGTGGGATCGCCCTGCGCAGCCTCCAGGCCCGGCTGGAGGAGCTGGAAAACCAGGTGGGGGCTGGGGGTGTCACCTGGGGGGTCACCTGAGAGTGTCACCTGAGAGTGTCACCTGTGAGGGTCACCCTGTGGGGGTCACCTGGGGGTATCATCTGGGGGTGTCACCTGAGGATGTCACCTGGGGGTGTCACCTGAGGATGTCACCTGGGGGTGTCACCTGGGGGTGTCACCTGTGGGGGTCACCTGGGGGGGTCACCTGTGGGGGTCATGTGAGGATGTCACCTGGGGGGTCACCTATAGGGGTCATGTGAGGATGTCACCTGGGGGTGTCACCTGGGCATGTCACCTGTGGGACCCTGGCCACACGGGGGACCGGAGGTGGCCGTGGGAGCCCAGGGTGGCACCTGGAGCCCGTCCCGCTCCCGCCAGGTGCGGGCGCTGGAGCTGGAGCGGGCACGGCGGGGACCGGGGCTGCAGGAGCTCCCGGAGAGCTGCCACAGGTAAGGAATGGGGTCTCACCTGTGCTCCCAGTTCCCTGCTCCTTCCCTGGATCACCCTGGGGCACGGGATCACCCCAGAGCACAGGATCACCCCAGGGCACTGGATCATTCCAGATCCCAGAATCACCCTGCACCCCAGAATCACCCCAGACCCCTGGACCACCCCAGATCCCTGGATCACCCTAGACCCCAGGATCATTCCAGACCCCTGGATCACCCCAGACTTCAGGATCACCCCAGACCCCAGGATCATTCCAGATCCCAGAATCACCCTGGGGCACAGGATCACCCCAGATCCTCCCAGAATCACTCTGCACCCCAGAATCACCCCAGATTCCTGGATCACCCCAGATCCCAGAATCACCCCCGACCCCTGGACCACTCCAGACGCCAGGATCATCCTGGATCACCCCAGATCCCTGGATCACCCCAGACCCCAGGATCATCCTGGATCACCCCAGAACCCAGAATCACCCCAGACCCCAGGATCACCCTGGATCATTCCAGATCCCTGGATCACCCCAGAACCCAGGATCACCCCGGATCCCAGGATCACCCCAGACCCCAGGACCACTGCAGATCCCAGGAGCAGGACGAGCAGCTCACAGGTAAATTCCCTTCGAGTACATCATTCCAGTAGGACCCTCTGCTCCATCCCAAGGGCTCAGAGCCGATCCCACGGAATCCAGACAGTCCCAGAACAAATCCTGGTGTCCAGAAGGATCCCTGGGCCTGTAGATCCCTGTCCCAGCCCTCCTGGGGGGATTCCTGGCCAGGGGCTCTGCTGGTCTGAGTGGCCAGTGGCACTCGAGCAGGGGCTCCGCTCCGTCCGGGATCCCACCGGATCCGCGGGAAATGGAAAAGTTCACAGAATTCTTGGAATTCACAGAGTTCACACAATTTACCGGATTCATGGAATTCACAGAATTTGTAGAATTTGCAGAATTCACAGAATTCAAGTTGCCCCTGGCGAGCCAGAGGCTGGGAGCCAAGGCTGGAAAAGTCCTGCCCTCCAGGGGCAGATCCCACAGTGGGATCGGGATGGGATGGGATGGGATGGGATGGGATGGGAAGGGATGGGATGGGAAGGGATGGGATGGGATGGAGCACAAGCACAGGGCGTTCCCATGTGGGATCTCCCTGTCCTGGATGGGATGGAGCAGGAACACAGGGGTTTGCCCTGTGGGATCTCCCTGAGGATGGAGGGGGGTCCCACCTCCTGCACCCTGGCTGCCCCGTGCCCCTCGCAGCGCTCCAGGCCAGGCTGTGCCGGCAGCAGCGGGACGCGGAGCGGGAGCAGAGCCGGCTCCAGGAGGCCGTGGCTGACTTGGAGACCAGGCTGGGGGAGCGGGAGCAGCTCCTGGAGCAGGTGGGGCCCTGTCCCAGAGCTTTGGCCCTGTCCTGAAGCTGTGGCCGTGGCCATGGCTGTGTCCCTGCCCGTGTCCCTGTCCCTGTCCCTGCCTGTGTCTGTGTCCCTGCCTGTGCCTGGCTGGAGGAGCTGGGATCCTGCTGGGATCTCCTCCTGGAGCTGTGTCCATGTCCATGTCCCTTGCTTGTGTCCCTGTCCTGTGCCTGGGTCCATCTCTGTGTCCTGTGACCCATGTCCATGTCTGTGTCCCTGTCACTGCCTGTGTCCCTGCCTGTGCCTGGGTCCATCTCTGTGTCCTGTGACCCATGTCCATGTCTGTGCCCCATGTCCATGTCTGTGTCCCTGCCTGTGTCCTTGTCCCATATCCTTGTCTGTGTCCCTGTCCGTGTTTGTGTCCTATGTCCCCTGTCCATGTCCCTGTTCTGTGTCCCCCTGTCTCTGTCCCATCCCTGTCCCTATCTGTGTCCCATGTCCTTGTCCTGTGTCCCGTGTCCCTATCCCTGTCCTTCTGTCCCTGTCCCTCTCTCCTGTCCCCATCTCTGTCCCTGTCCCTGTCTCCTGTCCCTGTTGCTACTCATGTCCGTGTCCCATGTCCCCTGTCCCTATCCCTATCCCCTGTCCCTGTCCCCACCCTGTCCCTGTCCTCTATCCCCTGTCCCTGTCCTCTATCCCGTGTCCCTGTCCCCTATCCCCTGTTCCTATTCTCCTGTCCCTGTCCTCATCCCTCTTCCTATCTCTGTGTTCCTATCCCCTGTCTTGCTCCCTATCCCTGTCCCTGTCCCCATCCCTGTCCCTGTCCCCGTGTCCCCATCCCTGTCCCCATCCATGTCCCCATCCCTGTCCCCATGTCCCCATCCCTATCCCTGTCCCCATCCTGTCCCTGTCCCCGTCCCTGTCACTGTCCCTGTCACTGTCCCCGTGTCCCCATCCCTATCCCTGTCCCTGTCCCCATCCCTGTCCCTGTCCCCGTGTCCCCATCCCTGTCCCCATCCCTATCCCTGTCCCCATCCCTGTCCCTGTCCCCGTCCCTGTCCCCATCCCTGTCCCTGAC